GGTTACGAGCCACAGGTTGTTCGCAATTTACTTCCGTTACTCTACAACTGCGTTTGGGATTGTATTACAGTGGTTCACGAAAACAGCTGATCACCAGCCGACTGCGACGGGGGCCAGTAGATCACCTGATGTTTGTCGCGCAGATTATATGTTCTTGTTGCAGTCAATATTTTATCCATCCCGGTCAAAGGTTGNGATTTAGCTTCGGTCTATAAATTATCACCTGAGATATGCTTTCAGATCAGAAAATGATTTCGAACATGAACCAAAATAATGTATTCATTCGTTTCGGTCTTTTGTTCCTATTGATAAGCAACCTTAATGCAGGTAAGTTATATCACTGCTGTTACGGACAGAAGATTGTTTCTGAAGCGATTCCCATGTAGTCGTTGGTAGTGCAATCGTTCAAATCATACATTGGGGGACTGCGAATGGGTTCGATGTTTGATCCTGAAAATGTTTGTCGTAGTTTATCCATCTCATGTTTGTGGTTTCAATAGAGACAGAATGAAGCGGAGGTCAAATCTGTTGAGACCCCAAACTGATACCATTTCTCGTTTTCATTGAATACCTTCAGCATTCTGCCGCCTAACCTTTCATACCGAAGTCCAGATTTGGCAATCTCACAATCTATCACAAGATTCTCCGGGTTGAACCTAGTGTTAAGTTTTTGTATCGACGCAACATGATATTACAACCATCCAATCCTGTCAGTAGGGAATGATGACTACCAGTAGTTGAACAAAGATCCTGATAGATGTCATCTCAAGAGTGACCCACCGTGATGAAGTAGTCATTTTTCAAACTACTATGCGCAATACTTGATGGGGCTTAGAAGCAGGATTTGTTTTTTATGTTTGAGTTTATAACTACTCATAAAACCTCATCGTCCTCACAAACACCTGCTCATCCAATCAACTGTATGCTCGGGGAGCACCAGGCTTGAAATTCACTTTTCATAAATCCATGGTAGATATCCGTTGTGCATGAAGATCATGGGGACTAGGCGAATGGTCTAGCAGTGACAGAAAGTTACCACCGAACATATCGTTTGTATTCTCAAATCATGATATTCGAAATTCTGTCAACGAAACGGCCGTGTTCTCCAATAACATTCTCATCATTTTCTTCCATCTAGCACCGGAAAGTTTGTATCCCGAAGAACCGGAATTGTACAAAGACGAGCTGGAATCCGAATTGACCAAAATTCGGGAAGATGAAATTGAAAGTGTCCAATCGCGTGGTAAGTTAACGTTCCGTTGGACCANGACCAAAGCAAGGAGCAGACAAGTTAGAACTGTATGAAGTAATCGACGAGGAATACAGAACAACAATGACCGAGACCTCGGAAACGGAAATGGAAACTGTAACTCCAATGAGGGAAGGTGATTAGTTCTTTTGCTAATTCGGTCAAATGTATTTCTTGATCTTCCACTCATTGTGTAGAAACTACTGAGATGTCGATGGATAGTGAAACNGCCTGACCCTGCACGCGGTCATCATCAGCACCACTGCGCATGTTGCCGTGTCGTAGATGACGGAGGAAAGAAACGTTCGCGGTCGATTGTGAACGCAATACGCAATTTTATGCATGCGGATGTGCAGACCAGTAGTGAAGATGAACGGTTACTGGACGAACTTTTAAGCGTATTATACCAGTTCGAGGGCGGTATTGCACGTCTAACCCATCTGTTTGGTTGTATCTATCACTAGACTGGAATGCATTTGCTGAATCCAGACAAAACTACTAATTTATTGCATTGTATGATTCTCAAGTGAAATTGTTATCTTACACGATGTATTTTTACTCTGTCACCAAGTAGAACCGCATCCTACAGAACAATCAGTAGTAGCTTTGACTCTGCATAGGTGTGTTCATACATAACAGGTGATGGACCGCTGTAGAATCATCGCAATATCACGTGCGTGAGTGCGACAGACAATCGCGTGAGTCACTTGACCCGACAACTTGGGCTTGAGGTGTTGGTCCGAACAGCCCTCAAGGGAGCACGTAATCAGCTTGAATGCTACATAGAAGGCTTATGATTCCATTCAAATGCTGGCAGAAAACCTATTGTCAATTGGATTTTGTCATTCTAGCATCACTCCTTCTCGGTATTTATTGTTTGATATATATATCTTATGGAACTGAAACTGGATTCACACAATAACTCAATAATCGCGCAACTGTATTGCTACTCTTTTCAGACTACTGTTTGTATCCCAGTTGAGAGTGGTAAAAAAAATAAGCCTACTGATAACGGCTTACAGTGAAGGTACTCGTTTCACTTAAAAATTAGAAATATTTGTAACTTTCTCGATGCGAATCTAACGAGTTACCGAAAAAAACCGATCCCCAACATGGACGGATAAGCTAAAGATTTTTTATTGTTTAGTGCCTCGCAGACTGCATTATTAGAATCAGTGCGGGTTGTCCGCCTAGAAAAATTGATATTCTAAGGCATCTTCACAAGAACAAAAGCTGTTGGGAATATTTTTCTCATTTAGAGAAAGCTTTTGATCAAAACAAACGACCAAAATGAGTGATGCGAAAGTAAGCGCATTATTGGGAGACTTAAAACGCGCTCCGGAAAGATAAAAAAGAGCAAATTTGAATATCAGGCATGCTATACGTCGATTTGGTGTGTCTTAGAAGTAGCTGTTGTAACCCTTAATTAGATCTGAGTAGTTTGATAAATAAATATCATTGTGTGGCTTTGTTTTTCTCCTCATTTTGGCTTTCCAATTGCATCTTATTTGATCTTTATAGATCACTCTCGCGCTGCATTGATTAGGGTCATATTTCT